CTTCGTTTCTTCTGGGTTATTTTTGACGTTGTTGTTCTTCATGCATATGACATTCTCTGCATTGAAGTTTATTTTCAAACTTGGGGAAGTTTGAGTGGAGAGCTTTATTTTGAAGATTACACTATTTACATGGAGATTCCCTTGTACAATAAACTGTGGTGATTCAGACTTCTCTTCTTGCTAATTCTATTTGCATACATTGCCTGTGTTTTTGGTGCTTCCCTAACTTTTAAGGTTGCCAAGGCCGCCGCATGGGACCTGTGCGCACGTTAAGGAGGCAATCGGCCGCTGAGGCGCTGCTCTGGTGGGCATGGAGCCAGCCTGAGGGTAAGGGAGGAGGGTAAGGGCTGGCGTGGAAGGGGTTCCTTCGCCACCATCCTGCCCTCCATGTGGTGCCAGTGTGGTGTAGTGGTTAAGAGCGGTAGACTCGTAATCTGGTGAACCGGGTTCATGTCTCTGCTCCTCCACATGCCGCTGCTGGGTGACCTTGGGCTAGTCACACTGCTTTGAAGTCTCTCAGCCCCACTCACCTCACAGAGTGTTTGTTGTGGGGGAGGAAGGGAAAGGAGAATGTTAGCCGCTTTGAGACTCCATTGGGTAGTGATAAAGCAGGATATCAAATCCAAACTCTTCTTCTTCTCTTCTTCTTCAACATCGACCAGCCCTCTACAGAGCTATTTTTCTAGAAAAAGAGGTGCCGGAACCTCACCATGAACACCTCCCTTGTTCTCTTATAACGGCAATGGCACCCACCTGAGAGGTGCAGGAACTGGGTTCCGGTGAGTTCCAGCTGAAAAAGAGAGAGCCCTGCCCCTCTATCATGTCTTCTCTTAGTCACCTTTTCACAGTGTCCTGAATGTTGTGACCTTCCCCACAAGGAGTTGCTCCAACCAATGGATTGTTCTGGTTGCCCTTTTCTGAAACCTTTCCCAGCTCTACAATATCCCTTTTGAAGGCCAACAGAATGAGGTGAGCACCTCTGTTGGCAGAAGTTGGGGAGTGGGGAGCAGCTGGCTGCCTCTCAACCTCCCTCAGCCCTGCAATATCCTTTTTTGAGGTAAGGTGACCTCAACCAGAGCTGCAGAGAGCATTTTGAGTGTGGTGGTGCCTCAGCTTTTCATGAAGGCATTACTATATTAGCCGTTTTAATTATTATTATTTTTATCCCTCTCCTAACGATCCCCAGCAAGGCATTCATCGTTTCCACAGCTGCCGCATGCTAGGTCACTATGCACTACCACAGCACCAACCATCTTTTCTTCATCACTTACTGTCAGCTCAGGCTTCCATGAAACAAACTAGCCTTGAATTAGTCTTCTTTTGTTGCACTTAAGTCACCACAAGCAAGAACAAAATAAGGCTCTGACTCATCTCTCTCTCCTTTACCAAGTACGATGTGAGATCTTTTCAAAAATATAAAAGGATGAAGATGAAGATGAAGACAAACGAGATGGTTTCAGAAAAAAGGATGCTGAAATAACAATCGCGGGGCTCGAGGGAAAAAAATAAAGGTGGAAAAAGCTTCTAGAAGAGGGTGTCTGTTTTAAAAACATTACGGGTCATGATGTGATAAACATCATTCATAAGCAAACAGAACAGCTGCGAAACACAGTAATATCACTTGAAAAGTTCATTGATTTTGCAGTAAAACTGTAAGTACTTCCCTTTATAAAGCCTGTTCTGCTCATGCTCTCAAATCTTGTACTTGAGCTACAAGTGCATTCAGGTCAGGGTTGCATTAATTTATTTTTTTAAAGGCACCAGAAGATAATAAAGCATGAGTAGAGAGATACTTTAATCATGAGCTACTTTAGAAACCAAAGCAAAACAAAATCATTTGGGTAGAAGATTATTAGAAGATGCTAATTCTTTGCTTACATTATTTCCCTTAGTTCTTTTTTTATTTTAAGGAATGCCCTCTCTTATATTTATAATTGAATTTTATGATTTCACTTAAATGGTTGGGTGGGCTTTGACCCACCCCCACCTCCACTGCTGATTGTGGACAGTGTGTGTGAGCAAACTGAATCTGAATTCCTGGCTTGGTTTTATTTTCATGGAAATGTTATACCGACGTAGCTTAGCAAATGGTGTGGCTTTCTGCAAACGTTTGCTTTGGGTCTGCAGATATATTTAAAGTAAGTGAGCAGCTTTACGAAGGAGGCTCATGTGGGGATGTGGAACCCTGCTAGGCGCAGACTGCCTTGCAAAATGAAGACAGACTTTTTTAAAAAACGGGGAGGGGGACCCCACTCATTACAAGCCAGTTAAAAGGCATAAGCACGTCTCCTGCATCAAAAAATCCAGATTGAGAGCAAGGAAAATATGCTGTTTGTATGGGAGCATTTGCTTCAATTTTGTTTTTTTTTTAATGCACATTTTTAAAAAGTGACCTGGGACTATTTTTATCTTTATGAATATTCATAGGAATACGATCATAAGAAATAATGGCATTCTTGCCCAAAATGCTTTTTATAAGAGTGCTTACTGACACCTTAAGTAGAAACACAGAGCAAAATGTTTGCAGAAAGTGTTGAGCCAAAATTTCTTGGAAGGCATTTCCCATAACCCAGAAACATCTTTAGATTTCCCAGCTTTTTGTTACCCCCCAAAAAGAGATGCCACTTTGCAGAATTGTATCAGAATATTCTCCACCATTTTTTGGGGGTGGTGATAACCCCCCAAAACCATATCAACACAATGCCCCAGAAAGATGCTAGTATGAGTAACAGATGCTGAGTAACAGATGCTGATGCGATAAAATAATAATAATGGTACAAAGAAGAAGAAGGAGCAGGAGCAAGGCAGGAAGAAGGAAGGAAGAAGAAATAAGAAGCTGTGCCAGGGAGCTCCCCCAAAACTTGCAGGTTTTCTCATCCCCCTGGAGGAATTTGATGAAATGGTGACCCCAATTTCTCTGCTCACAGCAAAAATCTTATGGAGAATCACGTGGTCGTTTGTACACAACTGTTACAAAAATAGTACAACAATCATCCATTTGGTTTGGCAACTTCATGTGCTGCTGGGAAACTCTTGGACAAACCTCTCTTGGAAGCTGCTTGGCCCAATGTAACAAGCGCATTTCTAAATTTCAACCTAATCAGACAAAACCTAATCAGTCCAATGAAGTAACATGTGCAGAGTGGAAGGGCTTTCTAACAGTGCTTTGCATGCAAAAATAATCCCAGGTGCCTCTACGTAAGCCTGGGGAAAATCTCTGTCTGAAGGCTGCAGGTCCTTGCTCCTGCAAGTGTGCTATAACATACAAATATACAAAGAGCCCTGCTGGATCCGACCAGAGACCTATCTACTCCAATGGAGGCCAACCTTTTTTTGAGTGGACATGTTTGGAATAATGAGAAAACGCCTGGGTGCCCATCACAAAATGGCTGCTGTGTAGACCTGGTACAACACAAAAGGACTGTTGTGAGGACGTAAAGGTAAAGGTACCCCTGACCATTAGGTTCAGTTGCGGATGACTCTGAGATTGCGCTCTCATTTCGCTCTATAGGCCGAGGGAGCCGGCGTTTGTCTGCAGACAGCTTCCGGGTCATGTGGCCAGCATGACTAAGCCGCTTCTGGCGAACAAGAGCAGCACAAGGAAACGCCGTTTACCTTCCCGCCGGAGTGGTACCTATTTATCTACTTGCACTTTGACATGCTTTTGAACTGCTAGGTGGGCAGGAGCTGGGACCGAACAACGGGAGCTCACCCCGTCGCGGGGATTCGAATCGCCGACCTTCTGATTGGCAAGCCCTAGGCTTGAGAGCCAGTGTGGTGTAGTGGTTAAGAGCAGTAGACTCGTAATCTGCTGAACCGGGTTCACATCTCCACTCCTCCACATGCAGCTGCTGGGTGACCTTGGGCTAGTCACACTTCTTCAAGTTGCATTTGATGAAAATAGTCCCTCCACTCTGTTCCTCCACTCCACAGTAACTGGTACTTGGTGGCATATTTCCTCTGTCTGAGGTTTGTACAAAATCTGCCCGATTATGTTTCAATAATAATAATAATAGTAGTAGAATTTATATACCGCCCTATACCCGTGGGTCTCAGAGCGGGTCACACAATAAAATCAAGATGTAAAACCACAAAATACCTAATAAAAATTAAAACAACAACTTTTAATATTGTATTTTAAATAGTTGTAACTGCCCATGGGGAAGGGTTGATTATAAACTTTGATGATATTGATGATGATATGGAAACTAAGAGAAAACTAAGGGAACTGCACAGCAAAACCACAGATATGTTTTTCCAGCCTTTCAATTTAACCTACAAAAGAGCAAACTGATTTAAATTATATCATGAGTACTCATAGGCATATTGTATAACATGAACCAAATAAACAATAAACCAAAACAAAAGGTATTTTATATACTATATATAGGGTGGGAGGGGGAGAGGGAGAGATGCTTTATATTTGAAGCTTCAAATAAACTGTGCTGATATCACGTTGGAAAGCGATAGACACAAAGTGAAGTACTTTTTTAAAAAAATAAAATGGATACCTCCTGGTAATGTTAGGGTTTCATCTTGGTTTGTCCTTCTTTTATATGGCCTTATTTACGACACTGCGCTGCCTGGTGCTCATGGTGCGATATCTCCTTCTCCACCACCACCCAGGGCAACGATGGTCCGAGACCCCGTACCAGCTGGCTGAACTGTGTTTTCTGGGAAGTCCTCTAGGATTGTCTTCTCCAATTTGTTTTGACTGTTTTTGCTGCTGGGCAGGCCTAGTGATGCGTTGAACTGATGCACCACCTTGAAGAATCTGCCCCCCTCCCCTTCCACCAGCCGCCTAATTAGTGCTTTGTTGACTATTCTTGTTTCACTGCACACTCCGAGTCTTTGACTGTGTCCTTTCCCCCTGTGCTCCCATTTGATTCTTCGAACAGTCTGTTCAGTCGGGTGTACTCAGCTGAACTACCATTCAGAGTTGCGCCGAGCAGTTTCTAAGCCTTATCAAGGTTTTCCAGAAGACAGGGCAGCTGTGATGGGGAAGGGCTGTAGCTCAGTGGCAGAGCACCTGCGTTACATGCAGAAGGTCCCAGGTTCAATCCTTGGCCTCTCCAGGTAGGGCTGGGAGAGGACTCTGCCAAAATTTCAGAGAGCCTCTGTCAACTAATGTAGATCAGGAATGGGAGACCTTTTGCCCTCCAGATGTTGCTGAACTACAATCCCTGTCAGCCTCAGCATGCATGCCCAATGGACAGCTGTGGTGGGAGTTGTAGTTCAGAAACACCTGGAGTTCCCCCCCCAGATTTTGTGTAGACAATACCAAACTATTGGTGCAACTTTATATTGCTGCTGCTGGCAGTGTGGGTAGCTCAGTTGGTTAGGGCATGGTGCTGATAACACCAAGGTTGCAGGTTCGATCCCTGCATGGGGCAGCTGCATATTCCTGCACTGCAGGAGGTCAGACCAGATGATCCTCAGGGTCCCTTCCAGCTCTACAGTTCTATGATCCTTCTGTCTTGAGAGACAATGGAGTGTGCCTCTGGGGGTGAAGTCAAACCGCTGTGTTGCCAGCACTGAAGTGACCTTCAGAAGGACGCAAGCCTGCTAGGTATCCAGGCATCTCGTGTTTTGTATAACTAGATGGTCAGTGGTTTTGCCTACGTGGTGGTGTTTATATTCTAGTGGCAGTGAGTTCCACGGATGCTGTGCAGATGGTAGCTGGTTTGCTGCAACAGCGGACTCGCATCATGCTCCAGAAATGTGGACCCGACATTCTGGGAGGAGAATTCCAAGAGAAGGAGCAATTTTCCTTCCAATCATTCCTCTTAGGATGGTGATAAAGCCCAGAGGTGTGCATCTCTGTTCCCAAAAGGCAGAGTCCGTTTTCTCCCAAACGTGAAGGGACAAGGGAAGTCAGAGAGAAAGAGATGGAAAGACAATGTTCTGTGTATCACAAGTTTCCATGTTTGCCTCAGCAGGAAGTGGTGGCATGGCAGGGAAGCTAGCAATTCTAAAGTAACAGTCAGGAATAGCTGTGAAAAGGTTACACAGGTGTCTTCATGGTTCTTTGACCATGGGCTGTGAACAGGTGTCTTTGAGGTTCTTTGTAGCCAGGTAGTTGTTCCATGTTGTAAATGTCAGGACGTTTGACCTGCAACTGTGTGTGCAGTCAGTGGTGTCAAGACTGAGGGAGATAGCTCAGAGCCAGTAGATTCTGAGCTGTATCATTCCGGTATTGGAAGATTGCTGTATATTTCTCAATAGAGTAGACCAGCTTAAGTTACTCTGTTAGAATCTTGAGTAGGGTTTGTAAGTACTTGCATTGTAGTAAAAGGTAAAGGACCCCTGGACGGTTAAGTCCAGTCAAAGGCGATCGTATTGTAGTAGCCTGGAGGGGGCTGCAACATGTTTTTGTTATTTGTAGTTGTTGTCTTAAGTGGTCACCCTCAAGACCAGAGGAGCTGAAGTGCTTTGTATATAGTGACTGGTCCAACTTGCCTGACTGAGAGCCAGTGTGGTGTAGTGGTTAAGAGTGGTAGACTCGTAATCTGGGGAACCGAGTTCGCGTCTCTGCTCCTCCACATGCAGCTGCTGGGTGACCTTGGGCTAGTCACACTTCTTTGAAGTCTCTCAGCCCCACTCACCTCACAGAGTGTTTGTTGTGGGGGAGGAAGGGAAAGGAGAATGTTAGCGCTTTGAGACTCCTTCGGATAGTGATAAAGCGGGATATCAAATCCAAACTCTTCTTATGGTGTTTCAGTTTGGCGATTCCTTGGTGTGGTAGAAGTCCAGGAAGCAAACTGATTGTTGCTGGTGTGTAACCCAATCTCTTAGGTTTTTTTTCAGAGACATGCTCAACTGGTTAAAAAGTTGGGGTTTGCAGTGTGTGACGTATGAGCATTACGGTCATGGTTCCTACTGCTTCTGTAAAAATGTGAGGGTGTGTTGGATATTCTCTCTCTCTGTGTGAGAATCATTTGTTCCAGAAACAGAGAACAGAGAAGAAGTTTCAAGAAGCAGCAGAAGGTTGAGATTGTTTTGTCTATGGAAGGACGTTTTCAGTGGGAACTGTTCTTTGAACATGCACAGTGTGGCAGGAAGTACTGATAACAATGGTTCTGTGTAACTTGTTGTAACTTGTTGTGAGTCTCTTGCTTGCTTGCGTCTTGTGGTGAGAGTCTTGTTGGATTCTAAGCATGCCTTGACCATGGCAGTGGTGAATGTCTGTGTATATTTGCTACCAATATGCTTTTATGCCTGTCAAGTAAACACCTCTATAATTGACTGAATCTTTTATGGCATCCACGAGTGTTTATTACCTACGGTGTGTACCTTCAACCCCAAAGACGCTTACAAGGAAGGAGCTGCATTGAGAGGTAACTGCTGAGTATGGATACTGGAACACACGTGCAGAAAAAGTGATCCAGTCCTTCTAAATCATCCATCTGAGGTTGATGGATTGATCCAACAGCATATTCCCGCACTGCCTGGGCAGTGTGTATGGAGGTCCGGAGCTTCCCCAGACGACAAGACCCCCCTCTCCACCTCGCTGAAGTGGTCCAAAGGAAAGCAGAGCAATATGTTTGGCACCAGCTTGACTGCAGGAGTTGGCAAAAGTAGGCATTCAAGGCGCCATTCAAATATCTTAGGGACCCCACTTTAGATTTGTGTAGGGTTTACTGCTTAGCTTTTTCTTCTCTCAGACCAGATTCAGGCGCTTTTGGAAGAAACTGATTTTCTGGATCCATTTCAACAGCAGTTTAGGCCCGGTTTTGGCACAGAAACTGATTTGGTTGCCCTGTATAATGACCTCTGTCGAGAGAGAGAGACAAGGGAAACATGTCCCTGTTAATTCTTCTCAACCTCTCGTCAGCTTTCGATACCATTGACTATGGTATCCTTCTGGAGGACTTCCGGGGTGGCACCATCGGTAATGGCGGACACCCTCTGATCCGGAGGGACCAGCTCCACGGAAAACGGGTCTTTCCCGCTACGGCGAAGCGGGGACCCTTTCAAAAATCACAGGTGGATGAAGCCTGTGACCATGGGACTCGGCGGGCACCTTTAGCGCCCCCCCAACCCGTAAAGGAACCCATTTACGGGCTCTGGAGCGAAGAGGGGGAAGTGGCGCGGTGCTGAGAGTCAACTGCTTCTTCCGTGGAGCGAAGCCGCACAGCCATTGCCGGAGAGTGCTGCCTTTTTCCTGGGACAATTTGGCTTTTAAAACAATTACCCGTGAGTACTTTAATTTCGGACAATTGGACTTTGAATAATGATCTGCGAGTAGAAAGGAAAATTGGACTAAGAAATTTATCTCAATTTGGCACTGAAACGGGAAGGTCTAAACAGGAAGTCAGCCTTCCGTTTCTTGTAGATAGATTAAAGCAAAGACATGGCAAACTAGAGTTCAGAAAATCGCTTGTAAAGGATTAACTTTCATCATTTAAAATTGTTGAACCCCCTTCGGAAGCAGGAGAAGAGGGGGGATTTTCCCCCCGGACTGTTTAAACCTGCAGAAAGAGTGTAAAGCAAAGTAATTTTCCACCGTCTTGATCCTGGGAGCGGGTGTCAGGACTGACGTTCTTTGGGAAGCTCATTGACCAGAGACAAACGTTTTTGACAGATAGTTAAAAGAAGAGAAACATAGTGATTCCATTGTTCTTCTTCGCATTTTAAAGGAACAAATATTGACAAAATATCTGAAAAAGGAAACTTTGTTGCTAGATCTGCCTTTAAAAGAAAAGAACAAATAGAAGTTCTTCCTCTAGAGGGAGTCTGTGAAACTGTTACTAAATCTGAATCGGGAGCTCTGCAGCTGCAGCAGATTACGATCGTGGGAATAGACTTCTGACCTTGCAGAACAATGTATTCAGAAGCTCTGATGCGTGCTTTCTGCAAAACAAGTGCCCTACTGGAACAGCTACATGAGAAGACGGACTTGATGACTGCTGCGATCGGAAATCTCGGACAGGTAGTGGGTAACTATATAGAGCTCACCCAGGAATTAAATCAGGAGTGTGCTCTGACAGATCAGATGAGGGAAGAGGATGTTGTTGAACCTCGGGCGCCAAAGATGGAGGGAGCTGTGGCCCAGCAGGAACATGAGTTTTTGGATCTGACAAATGAACTTGGACAAAGCCAGATTTGGAAAGATAAAGTTTGGTTTGGTTTGGAAATGGGGGATTGGATAGACCCCCCCTATGCAGGGATGTTTGGACTTTTCAAGTCTGGCAATGGGCCATGAGATGTTTGGGGTTGTGGGGGCTCTTAATTCTGGAGGGACTTTGAAACATGTTTTTAAATACCACATGGAGTTTAGTGTGGAGCATGGAAAAGGGATTGATTTGTCGAGAAGGGTCAAAAACACTGTTAAGTTGGAGTTCCCACGAGTGAAAGGAGCAGGAGACAAAGTAAAGTACAGGTATAAATATGAAGAAGAACCATGGAAGGGACATGGAAGAGACTTAAGGGCCTCGGACATAAGATTACTAGGTTAATGCGCTAGATTGATGGGATAGAAAGGACTGACAAAACCTGGGACCAGGAGGAAGAGACGCTGGATGAAGATGGAAGAAGAAATTTTTTTTTTATTAGGATTGTTTTATAAAATTGATGAATGTTAGAAAAATGTTGGAACGAAATTATTTGGCTTTAGCAAAAATGTTAAAAGAATTATGTAAGAATATGTTATGGTTATGAGAAATTGGTATAAATAAGACCTAAGTTTTAAGTTTTAAGGTCTTTTATAGTAAGATAAGGTTAAAATAGATTAAGGTAATGTAATGACAGAATATTATGAAAAATGGAAAGGATTTGCTGTGACTATTAATAACTAGGATACAAAAAAAGGGAGGAGTGAGGAGGTCAAAGAAAGAAGGTAATGACAGTCAAGGATATGAGAATATTGGATTTGTTTTTAAATTTTTGTGGCTTATTTTTGCTTTTTGATTGTGTTTTGTTACGTGCTTTGTCCTTATTTTTTGATTTTGATTTTTATCAATTTGTATTGTTTGATTGTGGTTTGTTTTTCTTTTGTTTTTTCTCTTTCTTTTTCTTTTCTGTTTTTTCTGTAACTTTAAAACTCTTAATAAATATCATTTTTTTTTAAAAAAGA